GCATTCAGCCTCGTGGACCGCAGGAGGTGGCGCTAAATTTGCAGTGAAGTCGTTAATAGCAGCAAAGAGCAAGTGGGTTGTTTCAATTCATTGGTTTGTTGCATATTTAATGTATTTTAAATGTATATTTAAAGCAGGAGCCTTTTGCTTCTTAATGTCCATTTGTTTGTCCAGAGATGACAGTGGGGAATCTCCCTGCCTTTCTGACTGGGAAGAGGCCACATGTGCGGAACCAATCATGCACCATCCCTTACCTTGTGCTGACCTTCTCAGTGGGAGGAGCCAGGGCCACTGACTTGATTGTCAGCTGAATTTTAATGAGCTATATAACAGAATAACAGTTGGAAGAGACCGTGGAGGTCTTCTAGCCAACCTCCTGCTCAAGCAGAAGACCTTATACCATTCCAGACAAGTGGCTGTCCAATCTTTTCTTAAAAGCTTCCAGTGTTGGAACATCCACAACTTCTGGAGGCAAGCTGTTCCACAGATTAATTGTTCTCAACTGTCATGATATTTCTCCTTACTTCCAGGTTGCTTCTCTCCTAGATTAGTTTCCATCCATTGTTTCTCGTGCCTTCTGGGGATTAGAAAATAGGTTGACCCCCTGCCCCCATATTCTTTATAGCAGCCCCTCAAATATTGGAACACTGCTAACATGTCACCTCCTAATACATAGACAGAAGGTCCCCATAATGATAAAGCTGGAACAAAATTGCTTAAATGAGAGGTCCTTTGGTGCTCTCTGAGTTTGGTTGTTTCCTTGCAGGCGTTTCATTACCCAAACTAGGTAACATCTTCAGTGCTAGTTCTGATGACGTTACCTAGTTTGGGTAATGAAACATCTGCAAGAAAACAACCAAACTCAGAGAACACCAAGGGCTCCTCATTTTAACACTGAGCTACAAATATTCTCCTTTATCTGCTTAAAATCAGGGCGTGAAAATGCTAGACCAGGGGAAATAGACAGTGATTCTGATTCTCTCTCTTCATTAACCTCTCCATTGTCTTAAATTGTAGAAAATTGACGCTCAAGCAATTGAAGAATTCTATGGATTGACCTCAGACATTTCCAAAAATTCAGAATCTGGATATATCCTTTTCTATCAATCAAGAGACTGAAATGGCACATTTTGGGGACATCTTGTGCACAAAAGAAGGGATCAAGGCTGTGCCCAGAATGATGGCAGAAACAGAGTGATGGCAGAAACGATTCCTCCTGGTTATCGTGGGCAATCAAGTGGTGCATTTCCTTGAGGAGAACAGTCCTGAGCAAGGATGCATTTTGCTTTGGTTTTCTTTCTAGGCTATTTTATACTTGCTAACTTCCAAAATCTTTTACCTCTACTTGAAACCTGGCTGCTTAACTCTTCAAGAACCAAGAAAGTGATTTTTAAAGTAACATTGTAAAATCCATTCACTGTTCAGTTATGGCTTAAGACTCGTCTTTGGTTTCCGTTATTGCCATTTTTCTGTTTTCTAACAGAACAATTTCCCCTCTGGTATTTGCTGAATTCCTTCCTCTTTTCGGACTCAAGAGGAAGAAAGTTGCAGTTTTGATACTGTGCAGCCAGCTTAAATCATTCTGGAAGCGTCGTGGTTTAATTTTTACTTTTTTTTCTATGGGAAAAGGACACTAGGTATTTTTACAGGATTGGAGATTTTTTAAAGACGTCACTTTTATTTCCGATAACACTATTTATTCTACTTTTGTTCCGCTTTGTCTCTTTCTTAAAATTTTCCTTGGAAGGTAATTTTTATATGCTTTATAAATCTGTTAATCCTTTGTAAAAAGAGATTTTGACTCAGAACCACAATACTGTAGAAGTCAAAAAAGAAATAGTTGTAAGTGTTGGAGGTCACATCTCTTCTCTAAGCCAAAAGTGCCATCTGCTGAAACAGGATCTATTAAGGGTTCAGTTTTGCATGTAAGCAATTCTCGGCATGGATCAACATGCTGTAAATGGACATCACCGGTCTAAACTTTAAGGTTTAAATAATAATTACAATTTTGGCCTTGAAAACAGTTCAGGGGTGGAACTTAAACTAAGGTCTATCGATGCTTTGAAAGGAGTTCCTCTTAACTTCATCCTCTCCTGCTCTCCAGCTTTCATTTTTCCAGTCCACATTTATGCTGCTCTTGCTGCTTCGACAGAGGAATAAGGCAGTATTAGGAAGACTAAATCACACTTACGTCTATTTTCCAATGTTGCGCATTATAACTCTAAGCTCTTTTAAGAGGGGAAAAATTATACGGTGGAGAAGAATCTGCCAGATTTAGGCTCGTAAGAAGCTTAGACTGAGCTTAATTTGGGCTGTGGGAACCATTGGTGCCTCTCCCTCTTCACAGCAGCCTCCCAGAAGGTCTGGTGCCCAAGCGCCCTCCCAACCAACAGCAGCTGATCCCAGCAGCTCTTGGTGAGCCTTGACAAAGCATAGATTTCTTTGTTCATCCACATGAACAGTAATAAGAACGGGCTTTCTGTTTGGGAGAACTCGGAAATTATCTCTGCTTGTCCCAATCACCTTCCTCCATCATCTTCTGCCGGGAATTGCCAAGAACAGAATCGACTCAGAAAATGGCAATGGCTGAACTCAAATCTGGGATTGGAAGGTCTGGCAAACTGCTTTCTTTTCCTTGCTTCCTCAGCTCCATATCTGGGTTTAACTTTTCCATTGGAAAGCTTTTTCTTGCATTGCACGATTGTCCCATCTCTGCAGCAGCATTCAAGCTCCACAGACAATGTCCGAGAAGAAAGAGACTCGCTGTCGTTTGCCTTAGACCACTTCAGAGCATCAGAGTTTCTACAGATTTCCATGAGGCCTGGGAGAAGTTGGAGACCCTCAAGGGGGGGGGGGGAATAACAAACTGAATATCTGGGATCTCCAGGGAGGTCATAAGATTGCAGCCATAGTCTTAACAGTAACTGCTTCCTTTTGGTTAACAGTGACATTCCATTAGCGACACATAATGTCATGTAATGTGTCGTCAAATAATTCGGATTTCAACAGTCTCCCTACTTCAGGCGGGCAACTGGTGTGGATATATTCAATCCAATGTGCAGAGTCCAATTTTCTTCAGAGGATGTCATCTGTAACACAAATAGCTATTGGCAACTAGTGGGCAGTTTATGCATTATTTATGCATTAGGGAATGAACTTTCGGTTAGAAAATGTCTCCAAGCAAAACCACTTCACCCTGGAGACTCCCTCTTTGGTGGGCAAAGCTGATAGCTCCCTAGACAAAGCCCCCACCCCATCGGAAGGCAGGGGCAACTGCCCAGCATAGGAAACGGCTAGGCATGTATTTTGTATATTTGGTGATAATGTTTTTATGAATAATACCTAACTTGAAAGAGGGAGAGAATATTGAAAAAAATATATGTTATAGATTAAAAGTGCACTTTTGCTACAGATTTATAAGGGGTTTGAATTGGAAGAGAATGGTGTGATGTGACTTCTGTATAATAAATGATGCCCTGATATCGCCAATAAAGGCCGTGTACGGTGAAATTGTCTCAGTCATGTGTGGGTTTTTTTTTTTATGTGATTGAAATGCCACAAAAAAACACATTTTTAAACCTGCTTTTTTCCAACATTACCAAGGTAACAGCCAGTTCCAGACAATGTATTAGGATGCCTTTTGCTGAACTAGAAAGTTGAGTTCATGTGTCACATGAGCCATAAGCCAGGGTTCCCAAACTGGGGTATTCGGCCAAATTGGAGCCGATGCCAAATGATATACCGTATTTAATGAAGCTTTTCTCAGCCCTAATGAGGTGCTAACAAGTGAATGGTTTTCCGTGCTTTGCCTGCTTTTCTCATTGCTGCTCCCTCCAACATTAGCGTCTCATTAGGGCTGAAAAAAAACTACAAATATTTTTACTGCGGCATACTCACCCCTTCAAATACCGGTACAGCTAAATGAGGCTTGGAAGAGTAGAGACAAACAAAATGGAGTCTGTGCTTCAAAAAAGGTTGGATAAAAGTTCCAAGATGGCAGCGTGCGTAGACGCTGAGGCTTTGAGCTCCTGGTGTCACAGTGGAGTATGTAGGCAAAAACTAGTCTATACCTACAGGGAGTTACTGAAGATTGGATCCTCTAGTCAACTAGATATTACCAACGACATCCAGCAGTCTTAGAATATACCAAATGACATAGTAAGACTCCGTGGATTGTTGTTGGGCCTAGGAGGCAGTGAAGAGAGTGGAAGCAGGGGCGAGGATGTAGAGCTGGTTGGCTAGTTCAGTTACGGAAGCAGCCTCAGACCAGCCTTACCAAGCATTTTTCTAACCAACTCTAGATCCTTTGTCCACAAAACTGATGAACTACAGCTATGGATGGCAGCAAATAAGCTTATTCGCGACTGCTGTGTCATGATCATCACAGAGATCGGGCATCATCCACTTGTACCGGACGCATCAGTGGAACTAACTAACCGCTTTGACAAACAGCACCTCCAGTAAAAGCAAAGGTGGAGGACTTTGTATTTACACACACAATGATTGGTGTACTAACAGTAGAGTTACTTATACACACTGTTCTCCAGATGTGGAATTCTTAACTCATTTGTTGGCCATTACTTAGATTTCTGTTATAGTTATCATCGCTGTCTATATTCCACCTGATGCAAATGTTAGCACAGCACTCTCTTAAGTTACATGATGCCATCGAGCAGGCTTATCCTGCTTTGTCGTGGCTGGGGATTTTAATCAAGCCGTCTAAAGTCTGTTCTCCCCAGTGACGTGCGGTGAGGATTACAGTTGGTGAGGCAAGAGCACGGCAGCGATGAGAAGCAACGTCCCTGCCGCTGTGTCTGACAGGCAGCTCATGTTTATGTCCGCCATAAACGCGAGGTGCCTGTTGGACACAGCAGCGGGGACGGAGGAGGCAGTGGGCAGTGGCCGTAACGGCGCCCGGCGGAGAGACATGCACCGATATGGAGCGGGAGTTCGGGCAGGCGGGACCACTGTTGCGGGAGCAGTGGCCGTGATGGCACCCGGCAGAGAGATGTGCACCGNTCCAGTCATGTTGATGTCATCTGCGTGGATCTGCTCTATCTTCAGTTTTTTTCACAGGGGGCAGGGCTGCAGTTAAAGATGCCGACGAGCCCCCGCCGCCACTAGAATAACTGCTGCCGCCGCCTCGTCCTCCTCCAACAGTACCACCACATTTGCTGCCCAGCGCTGCAGCTGAGGTGAAGCCACCAAAGCTCCCGCTGGTGCCCCCGCCCATGGCAGCGGTGGCGGTGCCTCCCCTTCCACTCAGAGCACCTCAGCTGGGCTCTGGGTACCCCTGCCGCCACCTCCACCTCTGCCGCCTTCTTACTAGCTCCCGCGGCCTCATAGCTCCTCAAAAGCACGGCAGAGGAGGAAGGGGGAGAGATAACGCGGGGGCCAGCTCAGGTGCTCCGCGTGGAGGGGGAGGCACCGCCGCCGCTGCCATGGGCGAGGGTGCCAACGGGAGCTTTGGCGGCTTCGCCTCAGCTGCAGCGCTGGGCAGCAAATGTGGTGGTGCTGTTGGAGGAGGAGGAGGTGGCAGCAGATATTCTGGTGGCGGTGGGGGCTTTGGGGATTCATTTCAGGCACAGCACCGGGCTAGGATTGGCCGCCCACAAAGGACCTCCCAGGGCTTGCTTTGCTGAACATGAGGCGACTGATGTAGTTTGAGCGGCCGCGGCCAGCGCAAACTACCGTCAGTCGCTCCGTGCTCATCAAAACAAGTCTGGGGAGGTCCTTTGCAGGGGCCAGTTCTAGCAGCCTGCAAAGGACTTCTCCACGTTTGATTTGACAGAAATCACTGCGCGGCAGTTAGAAACTGCTGCGCGGGGTTTTCTTGCCACGTGCGCGGCCGCGCAGCCGCACACCTTAGAGGGAACAGTGCCCCAGCCCCCAGGAGCACTCTACAGGTCTCCCAAACCCTCTACACACACCATTTTTTGCAAACAAACGGGGTGTACAGAGGATTTGGGAAGCCTGTAGTGTGCTCCTGGGGGCTTGGGAGGGCAAATTTTTTTTTTAATTTACCTCTTCAAACTCTTGGTGCATCTTATACTCCGGTGCATCTTAT